GAGATCAATTAAGCAGTTTTCAGAAACATTTGGCAAGCTGCTCAGAATGCACGCGTCTTCTTTTGTCACTCTGTGGATCGTTTTCCTGCTGTTCCTGGGACCAATTTGGGGCAAACCATCCAAACCACAGCCACCGAATAATTATGAAAGCAGAGCGCCAATTGAGGCGTTACTGGCGGGTACTACTTCCACTACTATTACTACTAGTGCTACTAGATCGCCATTTCGCAGAGGAGGAAAGTAAATAAAGCGACAGAAGCCACGCAAGCAATATAAAAAGAATGTTGATAATAAAAATTTAATAAAAAACTCAAGGATTCTACCAGTTGGTTTTTTTGAGGAGAAGAGTAACTGATGTTCGATTAGCAATTATGGATGACATACATATAGAAGTATATAAGTAAGTATGTATTTTAACTGCAAGGGTATTCAAACTTCAGCGCGCCGAAGTTAATTTCCTTACTTGTTAAAAAGGTGTAAAAATATTTTTGTCGTTAAATTTTTCAGCTGTCAATTTTGTATAGGAATTTTTGTTTCGTTGCCTCTTTGATTGAGGTGAGTACTAGGCTTTGTGCTAAAAACTCTTTTTGGATTTCTCTTGTGCAGATTCCACATTAAGGGCTACACTCATAGAAATTTTCCGGTAAAATCGCCCTAAAAACAGGGAAAATCGCCCTAAAACGGGGGTCAATGGTGACTAGGCAACAAATCTAGGGCGAATCGCCATAAAAATAAAACCAAAAAAAAGGAAAAAAAAATCAATTAATTTTTCAATGATGGGGGGGGTCGTGGATATTTCCTGGGAACTGGACTCAACACATACACACACACACACACGAACATCGTTTCAGATAATTTGTTTGTTGAATTGTCGCTATACCGGACGATGCTGTTGAGGGCAGGAGGCAGCAGACTTGTATAACCGCCGGTTATAACTGAAAAATCATCTTTGTAATCGAATTAAGGAGATATATATAAGGAGAAAAAACAACTTACTTGAGAAAAACATTAGGTGTCACTACGAGGGTTCGAACCCACGGCCTCTCGAGTTGGAGTCTAACGCTCTAGCGCTACACCACAGTCCCATCGCGGTATGCAACGTACAAACACTGTACACATCTTATTTTCTTGCGGTCTAAGTTATACAAACAAAAAATTGTATTTTTTTGCTGGTGACTGGGATACTTCGGGCCGTTTTCTCGCATGCTTAAAATAAATTAGTCTTTAAACTCAGAATTTCCATATGTATTTAGGTTTTTAAGACTACTTTAAATTTAAAATGCGGACGAAAAAACTTAATTAGTAATAAAAACTGTAATAAAAAAAAATAAACAGTGTTGACTCACACAGGAATCGAACCCACGACCTGTATTTTCAAACAGCAAAGCTGAAAGTGCGAGTGCTTAGACCGCTGGGCTACCCATTCTTACTCACTTTTTGACCTGTCAACTACACACACATGTACATAACATGTTTTACATGTATGCATCCATTTATTGCGTCATATAATTTCGCCCTAAAAACAGAGCAAATTGGTCTTTTTGGAAAAAGTAACCCTAAAAAATATTTTCCATGGCGATTTTTCGTATATTTAGGGCTAGCCAACGTGAAAAAATTTGTTTCATATGAATTTCTTTTGTTTTGGACGACTTTTTGTTGGGTTAAGTACTAGCCCTAAAACATTAAACACTTTCTTCATAATAGTAACTAACAAGTTTTTGTGTTATTTCAACGAAAAACTATTATATTTAAAGGTAAATTCGAAAGTGTAATATGAAATAAAAAAAAATATATATATGAGAGAAAATTTAATTTAATATTTAATATATTTATATTTATATACAATAACATATTATTGTTGAAAATAAGTAGCTATTCACCGAAGTAATATATTATTTTATTTTATTTAATGTACTTACTTTTACTTTGTTTCATTTTAAAATAGTCTGTGGGCTGTAATCTAATAAATATACATACTTACAAGACCACAGGGAGAATACAAATATATAGCAATATATAATTATGAGAGCATTATCATTTTCTTAACCATCAACACGCTTTAATCGAATAGTTCAGTTAGCTCTAATCGCTGAAAATGCTCGCGTCGAGATTCTTCGCACTGGGAATTATATTCCTGATGCTACTGGAAATTATTGAGGGACAATCCTCCACGATCCAGACGGATATCAGTAATTCAACGGAGGATGCAATGGAATACAGGACCGCCCTTGGAGTTCGCTATTCAGTTAATCCCAGATGGTCAACAAACAAAGGATGACACAATTCGAAAAAAAATATTTATATTTTATGGAGACTATAGATATTTTATTTTTGACTCTAAATATTTAATTTAAAAATAAATAAATTAAAAAATTATAAAAATAAATAAGTTCTGGTTGTGTAAAAACCCATTGTTTATTACTTCTGAGTGCAAAACGAGTTCGACCAAAGTTCAGCAGCTAATTTTATGGGTAATATTTAATTTATTTAGAGCAAGCTGATAACGATTAATATTGCAGTACAAATCGAAACTATTTAGTCGAGGAAAAAAAGTAAAATGGGTTTTGTATGTGAAATTTATTTAGATCAGACAAAAATAAAAACATTAGATTGCAAATATTTAAAATATATTCAAAAAAATTTAAAGCCAAACACTTCTCGTTTAAATGTTTATCTCTCCTTTACAAAATAACAAAAGTCGAAGCTGAAAATTGTCCATTTATCGACTATACGAAATTTTTAATCTTAATCTTAATAATCTTAATCTTAAATAGTAATATAATTTAAATTATGGACCACAATTTTTCAACTTAAATAATAATACTTATGTAACAATTATAAATTCTGGCTAACGTTAATCTAGGTACTAGAAATAAGTACCTTGGCAACACTAATATTCGAAGAGAATCTTATTTTTTTTTTATTGAAACAACATCTGTCCCACAACATATGTAGAACATCCGGTCGTTGGGGAAACTGTCTTATGGATCTTTTCGTTTTCTCTGAGATGCTAGCCAATGAAAACTTTGTATATAATTTTACAATTTAGTTTGTTTCTTTCGTTCAGAATGATCGCTTCGAAATTATTGATCTCGTGGCTATTTTTTCTGCTGTTTCTGGTGCAATCCTTCACGATGCCACAGGAGCTAGACGAGTCGGAATTTGATTTATCTCAGGAGAATGCAACTGCTCATGCTGCTTTTAGCCCTATATACAAAAAATGGCACATAAAGACACAAACATCGGCCCCACGTGCTGGTTGAGTGATATATTAAACTGATTTTGTGGCACTACTAAATGCAAAACAAGGTCCGGTAGCAAATAAATCTTAAAAATACCACAAAGGTCGTCGCTGCAAATGCCCTTATCAACATACTGTACAACAAATTAAATCAATGTTTAATACAAACTTGTTTAAAAAATTTAATATTTAAGTAAAAATCAAATTTTTAAAAAATACAAATAAAATACACAAAAAAATTAACACTGATTTTGTTACATTAAATGAGGGATAAATATGAAGTATAACCATCAATTTCGATATTCCATAAATACTGCTAAAATGTTGTACATTTTATCTTATATAGGTACGTGAAACTAGTACCTAACCAACACTGATGCTCTTTTCTTTATTGGAAACAGGCGCCACACCATTTTATGTAAATCACCATATTCAAAAAGCGGAGCAATTCAGTTGGTTTCTTTCGCTCAGAATGATCGTACCGAAATTGTGGATCATTGGACTAGTTTTCCTTCTGTTTCTGGGACAATCCTTCACCGTGCCACAATTTTTTGACGTGTCGAAAATTCCTAATTCTTCACCTGAAAATGCCACCTTCCACATGTCTTTCGGCATTAATGGATATGGATTTGATCCATTTGGGAATAAGAGAACCCAAACATCTCCTCCCCGGCGGGGTTAGGCGATATTTTATACTGTTCTTCCGCGCCCAAGTTTTTGGAACACTTCTAAATTAATCTTATAGTTCCAGTTTACAAGGCAACAAAGGTCGAGGAATGAAATTCTCCTATTAATTATGTATAAAACAAATTGAATTCAAATTATATACAAAAAGTGATTCTTATTTACAAATGCCCTTTTTTTGGTAACAATACATGAGTGATAAATAACAAGTTAACAATTAATATGGTTATCTACCTAAGGACTACAAAAATGTAGTACCTTTCACCTTAAATAGGTACATTAATTAAGTACCTAACCAACACTGATACCCGAAGAGCATATGGTTTTCTTTATTGGCAACAGGTGTCCAAAAATCCATAAACAAGAGAACTTTCTTATATATATTATATTCACCATACCAAATGCAAGGCAATTTAATTTGTTTCTTTCGCTCACAATGAACGCGTCGAAGTTTTGGATCATTGGACTAATTTTCCTGCTGTTTCTGGGGAAATCCTTTACCGCGCCACAACAATTTGACATGTCGAAAATCAGCAATCCCTCACCTGAGAATCCCATCTTCAAATCTTGGCACCGTGACTATAATATTAAGCATGGTCAAACAACGGCTCCACGTCATCAATCTTAAGAGATATATCCTTATCAACTCACTGGATGTCTAACGTGTTTACTCTTTAATAATCTTTCATGTTTTTTAATGTATAGAATCGCAAGTTGATTGAAAAACATTTAATGGTTGGAGATAATAAATAAAAAGTATGTAACTCAATTCTGAGTGTATATTTATATATTTCACTACATAATCTTGGGAGTAAAATGCTCTGCGTCGAACCATAGATGTTCTCCAAGATATACATAGCAAGTGCTACTAGTATCTATATAATTTGTAATTTGTTTCCTTCTTTTTGGCGGCATAATTTAAATATAATTAATCTGTTAGGCAACGCTGTACATTTTCACAGCGTTGCCAGATCAACACACAGCTGATGTTTGTTATTGTTCAAAATAGATCTGTTATTATCGGATTATTTGAATTACTTTTTAAAAACAAATAAATAAAAAATACTAGACCCCATACAAAGAATGTAAGTTTTATTAAATTCCTGTAACAAAGGCCACAAGCGACAGTCTCCAGCGTTACCGACACCTAAAGTACATAGTTTAACAATTATTTGATCAAATACACAATAAAACATCTATTGTTTCAGGGGAAACGGCGGCACCCATCCACCGAAGGTCTTCTCCAGTTCCTCGGCGACCGCCAGGCAAAGACGATCGTTGTTCGGATTGGCCACCACTTGGATGCCCAAAGGCATCCCCTTCGAATCCAGACCCATCGGGACCTGAGTGGCCGGCAAATGGAGCACATTGAACAGGCTGAAGTAGGCGAAATCATTGAACTTGACCAGCGGATAGAAGTGGAACGGTGCTGTTCTCGGCGAGCTGTGGAAGAACAGTACCCCATCGTCGCCTAGTAAATCCTGTACAGATTTCCTGCACTTCGCCGTGGCCTCCCTCATCAGTTTCTCCTTCTCCTTGGGCAGAACGCTATCGATCAGGCCATAAATAGCAGCCATACTGTAGTCACTTTGCCCCAGGATCTTCTTGAAGAGCTCTACGAAAGGATTGAGTTCGGCTCCGTTGCCCAGCAGCAGATTAAAGTTGGCCGGCTCCTGGGTCATCCAATAGCGCCACATCTTTCCGGTCATCTTAGTATTGGGTATATTGGCATGGCGAACATCCTTACCGCTCAGCCCCTCGAAATGTTTTCGTATCTTGTACATAACTCTCTCGGTTTCCCGATTGATAGGATTACACTGAGCCATGCCATTGGAGGAAACATAAAAGTAACGCAGCCGCTTCAAATCCACCTGCTCGTCCAGTTTTAGCTTCGATTTGAGTGAGGGTTCCACCAGAACCTGCATCATGGGCAGGAGATCTCGAGCAGATCGACTCATGGGACCGGCACACACCATTGTCTCCTTCTCCTTGCCCGTTCTAAAGGTGCAGCCCGCCATATTCACCGCTCCCGAAGTGGGTTTGTGCCCAAAGACGCCGCAATTGAAGGCGGGAATGCGGATGGAGCCACCAATGTCGGTTCCCAGACCGAAGCCCGTACAGCAGGCGGCGATTAGAGCTGCTTCTCCGCCAGAAGAACCTCCCACAGAGCGACGGAGATCATAGGGATTGTTGGTGCAACCAATCAGCATATTCCTCGACTCAATCCACTTGTTGACCTCTGGAACATTTGAGGTGGCAATGATAATGGCGCCGCTCTCCTTCATCAGGCGAACGCATTCGGCATCGGTGGAGGAACGTTCCTCCTTTCGGGATAGCAAACCCAAGGTATGGAGCTTCCCGGCTACGGCAGTACTATCCTTGGTGGAGAAAGGAACACCCAGGAAGGGCTGCCGCCGGAAATCCTCATCGCTGTACTCCTTCTTAGCCAACCTCCTGTCGATTTCGCGTGCCTGATCCAGTGCCTCCGGAAAGGGACCATCCACAATGGCATTTAGATCCCTATTAACACTCTCTATCCGTTCGCAGTACGCCTTCACGATGTCGTAACTCCGCAGCTTGCGTTCCCGGATCTGTTGGGCCAACTCCACGGCGCTTTTGGTCAGCAGCTGCTGCTGTTCGAGGCTCGGTGGACCCGGAACTCGCTTGTGCTCACCCAGATACCAGCCCAAAACGAACTCCAGCAGGCGGTCGCTCAGGATGTGGACCAGTGCCAGCAGGGCATCCAGTACGTGGCTCCAAAACGACATGATGACTCCGCACCGTTGGCTCTTTTTCTGATGAGATTTGCACTTTGCGCAATGCAAATGCAAACTAAAACCAAAGACCACTGAGGTTGCGATAAACCCAAGACGAGACGTTGCCACCCGATAAGGCAAGAAAAGCTTTCCACAAACCAGTTTCGGTACCCAAGTACTGTGGGCATTATCGCTTATTTTTTGGAATTTCCTTTATTTAATATTTTTTTTACTTTTGTTTTAACTTATTTATTTTAAATAATCAATTGATATTCAATGTTTTTACAATAAAATTTGCTAATACATAGTTACTTACTTTAAATATTAAAAATAGTTTTGAGCCATTTAATAGCCTCTCTAAAAATGTATATGTACATTTCAAGTTTATTTGTTGCTAACAAATCGATTTGAATGGTTTATTGTTTATTTAATCGATTTAAGTAATTTTTACGTATGACAACCTTTTTTAGAAAAATCTTAAAATAAATTCTTGTAAAATCCTTATACTTGAACAATAAAAGTACAGATTTTAATCTCAGAAATCTTTTTAAATGAAGTTTTAAAGCTAGTATATAGCGTAAAATGGTAGTTTAATGGCCAAAAATATTTATTTAAATTTTATAGAGTTTTATTAAATATATAATTTTTAAAATTTCGAAAAAAAAATGTAAACTAAAAACCAATAATTTTACCTCCAATACTTACAAGCTCACATTTTTATGGAAACAAACTAGCCTATTATTATATCCAAAAACTACAAAATATAAAATACAAATGTGGAGTTATAGGAATACCCCTATTATTTCCTCAATAAACCACCACCGCGCATGAACAGCTGTGCGGGGAATGCCCCCAATGCTGCGGTCGCACCGTGCAGAGGTGCCCTACACTCACTCGACCGTCAAACCGTCAAATATCGATTCGCAGCTGCTGCAGATGTTTTTTGCGTCAACAAAACAAAACAGCCGCCTCCGCTGCCGCGCAGAAAAAAAACATAAAAAGTCGGTCAGAGAGATCCGAAATAAGTTGCGAATTGTGAATTAAATGCATTAGAAACGGAGGCCACGTGCAGTGCGAAAAAAGAGGCTAATCAAATTCCTGCCTGGGGAGCTCATATCGAATTTTTAATCCCAGTACGTTGACCGGTATAACGAATATCTGATACCCTGCAGTTCGGCAGTTCGATCACCCCGATAAAAACCCCCTAATCAAACTAACGGCCCTTATCACCATAGTGAATCATTTTTTAATTGACTTTGGTAGTGGAAAAGACCCTTATCTGGGCCGAAAATTTGATTATTCGATAGTGTGTCACATACGTAACAAATTAGTCAGCATGCTTTTGATACCCGAATTGGCTTATAAATAGAAAGTTTGCGAAAAACAAGTGCATTTACCAAGTAAATATGCGATATTCGTTGCACTCGCAGGCGTATTTATACGGAAAACCAAACAAAAACCCATTTACAACCCGTGTTAAATTGCAATTACCGGTTAAGACGGCAAAACGAAGTGTTAAATGCTACCTGTAAAAATGTGGAGTGTCTGTTTGTTTGCCTGGGAGCCAGCACAACTGTTAATTTTCAATCGAAAATCATTTCTTATTAATTGTTAAGCCCAGTTGCCAGGCCAAATATGTATATGGATTTCGCCCCGATTATTTCTTGGCATTATCTTTTGCACTCGATTAGAGAGGGTGTGTTTTTATGGATTTATGGCCCAGCCAATTGTTTTTAGTTTTTTATTCCCGCCCAGGTGTTGTTAACTCACCTGATGAGTGACGTTATCATCAGAAATGCTAACGTGTCGTGACACGAACAAATTTCACGCGTGTCTGATTCAATTTCCAATTTGAGATAGGTCAGCAATCGTTATGAAATGTATTCGAGATGTCACAGTGGCTTTATTAATAACAATATGATAAAAAAAGTTTAAAAAGTCAAAATTTCGTGTCACAATATTCTTTACGATTCACATTTACCCTTTTTATAAAAACAAAATTTTACTATTTCAGTAACCAACTTTTATATATAAATTAATTTAATTCTTATATAATAGCCATATTTTAACAGAAACTATTTATAATAGCTAAATAAAAAATGGGTAACCACATTAATATCAATTAACATGTGTCTGGTAGGTAATACCTATACTTTAAAGATAGCAGAAAAGTAATTTAAAACCCCTTCATAACCTTAAATATCTCTTTATTGCAACGTTTTAAATTAGGTATAATTCCTACCACTTAATGCTAACCTAATACCTCTGAGAATTTAGTAAATTTGAAGCTGTAGTGTTGTAGGATGATTTCAAACTCTTATCTCAAGCGAGGTTTTAGGCGATTTAAGGCTGAATTTAAGGGTAAACACACGTTCACCTTTAACACGCAATCGTCTCTCGCCGTTGATTACCTCAACAGCTTTGAATCTGTCAGATAATAAACCTTTGGGATAGCTGAGCACTTAGAAAAACCAGTTAACAGAACTCATTTTCAAATTGAAATAAATTTCAAAATTATTGTTTATCATCAAACTTATTTGTAACTCCTTTTAAAAACAAGCAAACTGAAAAGTATTTTTCAAACACTACACTCGAATCGCCCTGAATTTTAAAAAATCGCCTATGGATTTGCTTAACAGACGACCCTTTTTTTAAAATTAAAAAAAATTTCAAAATTTTCTTTCAATTATCATCAAAATTTTATTCAGGCAACTTCCAGAATATTTAAAAAAATCCAGTACTGAAATCCTAAGTGGTTTTCAAACAATAGTTTATAAGGAGCATTATTTCCAAATAGGGAAATAAAAAGTCGGTTATTAAATATTTAAATTTTTCTTTTGAACAAAATATATCCATAAATCTTTTTAAAAAATTTTTTTTAAAACCGCAGAATCCTCTTCTTAACGACCCTTCTTGGTAAATATTTTCTCCGAGTGCCGACGATATCTTAGCAAACAGCGAGTTTATGGCAGTGTGTCGGTGTGTCATGTCTGTTAAGTGGGGCCGACTGCTTGACAGTTGATTCGTCAAATAGCACCGCACTCGACGCTGTTTTCCTTTTATTTTTAGTTAGCCACATACCTCCAGAGATTCTCAACCACGCGACGCACGTTGCTTTCCACATTCACAGGTGAAACGCAGCGCGATGGAGAGGAATCCAGTCACGGTAACCGGGCGGAGGAGGAGGAGGAGTAGGAGCTACTGAATCCAGTGATCAGGAGGAGAAGAAGTCACTTCCCAGTGCCGCTGATTACATGAGGAACTTCAAGAACATCATAGCGCCGGGAAATGAGGCCTCCATGACCAGGGAGTTCAATCCGCAGGTGGCCTACGAGTTCGAAAAGTATCTCAATCCGCAGAAACTCAAGCAGCATGTGCTGAGAAGCGATAAGTTGCGATCCATCCTAGAACACTATGCCAAGGAATCGGGACAGCCGGTGAAGCAGCTGGAGCGGCAGGCCAAGGCGATCATCGATGAAATCGGTCTCGAGAGGAATATGGCCATTATCCGATGGTGTGGAATAGCCATCACGGCGATCGGGAAGCGGATCTGCGATGGATTCTACGTCAATTCGGCCAGCATGGCCAATGTGCGCAAGGATATGGGCAAGTGCCCGGTCCTCTATCTCCCCAGTCATCGCAGCTACATGGACTTTATCCTGATGTCCTACATCTGCTACTACTACGACATCGAGATACCAGGAATAGCAGCCGGAATGGGTAGGTTTTTGGGGATTTTTAATGTCATATCTCATTAAAAATGTGAGATACTTGTCTTTACAGAGATCAAAGTTCCGAATGTGGGATAATTTTCTTTAAGTTTTAATGGTTTCTACAGTATGATTGGTTTTTCAGCTGACATTTTTTTTATAGATCATATAAACAAATATATTTCAAAGCTTTGCAAATAATTTCCTGAAAACAAGATTACTCACTGCTTAGTTTAACATTTTTATTTTCATTTTCGGAAAATTAAAATGAAAATTCCAAAAACTCATTAGAAATATGAGATACTAGTCTTTATAGAGATCTTTGGATCTTCGGATAGCTTTCCTTAAGTTTTAATGGTTTTTCTACAGACGGGTTATTGAGCAAGCTGCCATTTTTTTATAGATCATATAAACAAATAAATTTCGAAGCTTTTCAAATAATTTCCTGAAAACAAGATTACTCAATGCTTAGTATAATTTTTATTTTCATTTTCCGAAAACTATAAAAACTTATCTAGCGGAAAATTTGCTATGAATATTAATGGGCTTGCCTTTCGTTTAACACATTGTCAATATCTTATTAACGTTTTACAAAGTGGAAAATATTTAACGCTAATGACATGCTACATTTTAAATATGTTTGCTATTCAATTAGTACGAATTAACGAATTAAGATGTCAACTTGTGAGTAGATTTTTGGGCCGCTAATTAAAGGTGTTAAAATTCTATATTTCTTATAAATATTAAGGGGTATAACTAATAATATCAATAAATATTTTTCAGATTTCCACTCGATGTTTGGAATGGGCACAATGCTGCGGAAGACTGGAGCCTTCTTCATGCGGCGCAGCTTCTCCAACGACGAGCTCTACTGGGACATTTTCCGGGAGTACATGTACGCACTGGTGGCCAATTACCACATCGGTGTGGAGTTCTTTATCGAGGGCACTCGCTCGAGGAATTTCAAAGCACTGGTGCCCAAAATAGGACTCCTTTCGATGGCCCTGCTACCTTATTTCACTGGCGAAGTCCCGGATGTGATGATTGTGCCAGTGAGTGTGGCCTACGAACGAGTCCTCGAGGAGCAACTGTTTGTCTACGAGCTGCTGGGAGTGCCCAAACCCAAGGAGTCGACGAAGGGTTTCTTCAAGGCCCTGAAAATCATCGACGAGCGCTTCGGCAAGATGTTCCTGGACTTTGGCGAACCTATCTCAGTTAAGGAATTCTTTGGACACGACAGTGGACAGCGGATGCAGCGAGCAGGAGTTGGTGGTAGCCTGCAGAAGCTCAATCGCCAGGAGGTGGAGCTGGTCAAGCAGCTGGCCAATGAGATTATCTACCAGCAGCAGCGACGCATCGTCATCACCACCTTCAATCTGCTGAGCCTCTACTATGCCAGTCAATTGTATGCGCAGAAGAGTGTGAATATCGATGAGCTGTCCCGTGGTGTTCTGCATCTCAAGCGGATCTTCGAGCAGCTGGGAGCCCATTGTAGCACTTCACCGAGTAGTATAAAAGCGGATATAATCGATGCCGTGGAGATACATGCAAATATTTTGAATTTCGCCAGCGCCCGACTGCAATTTACACCAATGGCAGCCAAGCAATTGGCGGAACGCATCGATGTGAAACGCCTGAAGGCACATGCCCTCTGTCCACAAACCATGGCAGTGGCTGTTCCGATGCTCGCCCTTCAGCTCTACATTAATCCCTGCATGTTCTGGCTGGCCAGACCCGCCTATCTGCTCCTCGCGGCGCTAAAGGAGCAAAGGAATCAGGAAAGGCAATCAACTGACATCTCTTACGAGGCCAGTTTGAGTGCCCTGCATGCGCATGTGACCAGCATGGATGCCCTGTTCCAGCACGAGTTCATCATTGAATCGAATCGCGAGGCAGCCGAGTTTGAGACACATCTGCAGCTGCTCCTGGACGAACGGGTGGTGGAGTTGGAGCAGAGCGGACGGATCAAGGTGCAGGATAATGAGTGTTCGCATGTCATCCTAGCCGCCCTGGCGCCTTTCCTCTGCCTCTATTACCAACTGGTGGTCACGTTAAGAAAGGTGGGTGGTAAATAAATTAATAAATTAGACCCCTGCGTGAATCATTCAATATTTATTTTTTTATATAGTATGCCATGAAATTTCTGATTTGTTTAATTCAATTCTATGTGAAATTGAATGTTTTTCTAATTCATTTCGAATTGAATGAATGAGTGAATAATTTTTATGAATTTTGAATTAACAAATCAATGTTAACTGCATAGTAACTAAAATTCAGGCAGATTTAATCACAAAAGTATGGCCCTTTCTTCTTCTAAAGAGATTGTCGTTTGAATTCTTTCGGAATTCATGCCATTCATTCATTCAATTCTATTAAACTTCAAAATTTTTATTAATTCAACTCTATTAAACTCAATATTTTAATTAATTCAATTCTATTAAACTAAAAATTCAAATTTATTCAATTCTATTAAACTCAAAATTCTAATAAATTCATTCATATAAAACAAAAAATTCAAAATAATACATTGAATCCATTCATGCAGGGCTCTATAGTAAATATATAAATAAATCTCTAAAATACATTTTTTTCCCACAGATCCCTTTGGAACTGGAGTTCAGCAACAAGGATCTTCTGGTACGCGTCCAGCAGCATGTGGAGCAGCTTCTCCAGCAACCCGGTGGCTCCGCCTCCCATGTGCATCCCTATTGTCTGGCCCTGGACAATCTGAATATAGCCATTTACGCTTTGATCCAGCGAGGCTATATTGTGAAGTGCAGGGACTCGGGACAGATGAAGATCGCCGGGACGCCAGGAAAGTGCCTGAGGGAACTGGAAACCCAGCTCCTCGAGTACTGCCAACTAATGCCATTCGCTCAATACTCGACGGCGGCCAACCAGCAGGCCCAGTTCCACATAGCCAAGTTATAACTGGCAAATGGCAAGCGGCCGACGGGGGAGGCGACGACGTCTAGGGATGCGGAAACCGAACCAAATCCCAATGCGGAATCAAGTCCCAAACAGTGTAGTACAATTAGCATTTCATTGCTCATGCAGTTCATCCAGTTTGTTGTCGGCCTGCTCAAGAATTGTCGCATCATCTGCATTCTATTTTTCATCGTGGTGATGGCGCCGCTTTGGCAGCTGCTCCACTGGGTCATTGTATCCTCCCACTCATTCACGTAGATTTAGGTGGTGTCTGTTTAGGATGGGTCGATTTTAGGAGTGCCAAGAAATTCTGAAACAAAAATCAAAAAATAGCACTCAAGAAACTACGCTTTAAAATATTTTACTTAATAATTAATTTTTATTAGGTTTTCAATAATTTTTAACCTATATTGGTATTATTTTGCATTCCCCATTTATATTTTAAATTTCACATGATTCCCATTTATATAAAATTAAAATTACACAATATTCAGTGTAGTTTAATATTTTTAAAATATTATTTTCTTATAATATTGACAAAGGAAAAATCGATCCATCCTAGAGTGTGCGTGTGTCCAAGTGCTTAGAATATCTGTAATCTTAGAAACTGAAATTTTATGTCCAGTTTGCCATAGAAACAAATGAAATTCACAAAACCGCCAAAACTGAAATCGAATTTTGATCAAACATTTTTGTATATATGAACCGGTAATGGTAGATCCCATCGAAATATATATTCCTTATATTTTTAGCCGAGGAAATCATAGAAATGTTGCCCAACAAAATACAAAACGACATACAAATGCACACTTTCAAGATTATTTTAAAGCTCAATTAGATTAGCTCTTTTTTAAAAATGTTCATTACAATTCACATGATTAGAAAAAAATCATTTAAACTTATTCATTTTTTTCAAGAGAGTGAAGGATGCATTTTTTATTTTTTAAGGTGTTTTATTCGTATACGTTTTAGTTAATTTAAGCTGGTGTTAAGTTTGTTTCATTTTATAATCTTAAGTTGGTTATATTCACAAGCCATGGATTATTTTTAAATATTCTATTGTGCCAATACAAAGTCAGCACCACACAATAAAGTTTAAAAAAAGGCAAGCCACAAAACTTGCCCCTAGGTATAAATTAAAACGGTTGATTTGGTTCAATCCAATAACTCCTAAAAGAAACCACAGCACAAAAATGTCAGCAAAGTGCAATACAAATATTCTGTTTAATGATATTTTTAGAGATTATTTCGTTTTATTTTTGTGGTAGATACTTTTATATTTATAAAGAATTTAAAACAAGAAAACAACACCAATCCTAATTACACGCGCTATTTAATAAACCAACAGAAAACGAGAGCAATAATAAAACAAATGTAGTCGGTGCCAGTTGCGCCTCAGAAACTTGATTCACGAGACTTTAAATTGCAGACTTTTGGGGTCACTGGCAAAACTGTCGTTTGAATTGATCCAGGGTGCGTTGGCTAATGACCACGTGCATCATCAACCGCTCGGGATTCTCCTCATCCGCTATGGTTTCTACCACAGCTGAGTTTTTATACAGCCAGGCCATTTCGGGTCCACCGCTGGGCACTCTCATTTGCAGCTTTCTTCGCCCGGTGGCGATCAGTATCTGTTGTTCGATGTCATCTAGCAGGGGTTCTAAACCAGTTTGTGCTCGCGCTGATATGTGGTGAACAGGATCAGAAGATGACTTTGTTTCCGCGGTTACCAAATCACATTTGTTGTACACATTTATGATGGGCGGCAATTGACTGGCCGTAGAATCTCCACCAGCCACATTGAAGGCCAAAGAACGCAGCGTGGCCTCCACATGATTGCGTTGAGCGGCATGGCAGGGATGGGAGAGGTCCTGAACGAGCACAATTACATCCTGTGAGTAGAGAAAATATTATTAAAAAACTTTTCTAAATTCCAGGGTTCGGAATTTAACGCACATGTTAAAACCATGTAAAATTGTATTTTACAGTGTGAGCAAAAGTGTTACAATGTGAAAAATAATTGTTTTTTACACAATGTGTTATTAACACGACCTGTTTTTTACACACTGTGTTTTTAACACAAAGGAAAATTACATTTTATGCATATTAACGAATCGAAAGGAAAATGAAGAATCAATATTGGACCAAAATATCTTAATTGTTATTTTTAAGCGTTTCAAAGCATATATGAATTTGACATTTTAATGTCAAAAACACGTTGCGTAAAAATCACGTCGTGTTAATAACACGACGTGTAAATAACTCGACGCGTAAATAACACAAATAAACTGTGTGAGTTTTTTATGTTTCTAACATAAGTAAGTTACAATTTTTTGCACACATGTCAATAACTTTTTTTGAACTTAACACTTTGACATTAAACATGTTAATAACCCAAGTTTTTTTACAGAGTGTGTTATTTTCCGAGCCCTAGTAAATATTATTAACAACCCCCTTCACTCACCGCCAGCATGGCATCCTCCAAAGTGGCCACGAAGCACTCAAAAAGTCCCGTGGGCAAATCGGACATGAAGCCCACGGTGTCCATGTAGATCACCTGCAGATTGCAGGGCAAGCAGCCCGCATGAGCAGTCACATCGAGGGTGGCGAACAACTGATTCCTCGGCTGCAGAGCATCCTCCACGGTGAGAGCCTTGATCAAGGAGGTCTTGCCGGCATTTGTGTAACCAACGACGGCCACAATGGGATAATTTTGCTGCTTTCGCTTTTGACGGAGCAACTGCCTCTGTCGACGCACCCGATCCAATTCCGCTCGCAATTTGCGCTCCCTGGTGCGCAGAATCTCCTTCTGCAGGTCACTCAAAGCGTAGCCCTGGCGACGCGTCTGCGTGACACTCGCATCCTTGGCCTGGGCCCAAATGTAGGGCAGCTCAGCCATGGCTACCTAAGAAATATGTTTAAAAATAAATATATTGATATTTAGTATTGCTTATTTAATGGTAAAACCCACCTGCAGCTTTGCCTCCGCGCTGGTGGCATGTAGCCTTAGGATCTGTATCACCACGGAGTAGCGATCCATCACCGGCAGCCGGAACTCCGCCTCCAGGAAGCGTTTCTGGGCAAAGGACAGCGTGCCCTTGCTGACAAACAGGCAGGTGAGTTGCCGTTCCTGCCGCAGTTCGGCGACCAGCTCTTTCAGGTCCACTAGCTTGCCGCTGCCAAAGAGTGTCTTCTTCTCGAGACTTTCCAGTGGAACTTTGAGCGCCCTAGCCACCTGCCAATTGGGCAGCGAGTGAATCAAAGCAGAGGCCTCCGCCAGTTGATCCTCTGGCCGAACATCCACGGGTGTGCTCTGCCGTTTGGCGGCCCACTTTACGTACGGCTGGAGGATTAGGACTTGCTGGGAGCTGGCTATGTCGCGGATGATGCGCATGGCGCCTCCGGCCACCTCGTCGTAGGCTCTGAAATTAAGTAAAAGATTAATTAATCAATTAAATCTACTTATTATTGGGAGAACCAACAACAAAGGTTATACAATTCTATTATAATATGTCTTACTAGGCTCGGAAATTAAATAAAAGATTAATGAATCAATAAATCTACTTATTATTGGGAAAACCATTAACAAAGGCTATAAAATTCTATTATTATATGTATTACTAGGCTCTGAAATTAAATAAAAGATTAATTAATTAAATTAACTTATTGGGAGAACCATTAACAAAGGTTATAAAATTCTACTATTATATGTATAACCAGCTAATATTAATAGAAACCATATCAAAACATGGAAAATAGCCGAAAAATTTAATAATTTCTTCAATATTCTGAACCCACCTATCATCTAGGAACCGCATGTCTGCTAAATCGCTGCCAGTTGTCCGCTCCTCCTGCTCCAAATCCTCATTATCCTGACCGGTGGCCTGCATCTGGGCCTCAAAGAAGCTTTTTCGGTTGCGAATTCCCTTAACTCCTTGATGTTGGGTGTACTTATAGCGCAGGGAAATCCCTGCCAGCGGTCGGAGTGGAAGACTCCTGGTTAAACGGCTGAATATCCGTAGAGCAGACATTACTTAGGCTAACTAGAGGATTTACTAATAACTTGAACTAAAAGGTTTTCTCGTTGAGTACGGAATGCTTTTCCTCAAAGGCCATCCACGCCGCTTGACAGGATTTGGTGCGCGACGATGTCGTTTGATAGGATACCCCAGTGGCCACCAGCGAGGAGACCAGTATATTGTACTTTACAGGATAACGAATGCGCGATTGTACGATCTTCTGGGCGAAATAGGTGCCGGAAAAACCTGTAATTTGTGTAATTATTATGCAATTATAAAGAAACCTATAATAGAGAACTCACTTAAACAAAATGTGGCGAGGCCTGTGAAAAGGGAGCGGGTCATGCAGTCGATATAACCATCGAATCCTGGGTGCTTTTCGCGCTGCTGATCCTTGAGTCGCTTGATATCGTTCATAATAAGATAATAAGCGGTTGGTAAAGTGCCTAAATTCTTATTTTCGTTGGCTTTTTGCCGGCGCGCAATTAAAACAGCTGTGTAGTTAGAGGTGGGAGAACTATAACCTCATCGTTGGGACCGATACTATCGTTATAGGGAATTTTTATTTATTTTTTCCGATTTTTATATATTTTAGTACTTCTTTTACGGAATGATTAAATTTACCAATATTTCACATTTTGTTCATTATAATTTTGAATACATTATTTAAAATAAAAAATAGTAGATAAATCGAAACTTAATTCCATTCAATCTTGTCTTACGATGTTGTTAATTTGTATAACTATTTTTTAAAGATATTTAAATTGAACCAAATTATAAATTTTGAACCGTAGTTACCGAAACTAACAATTTTTTGAAAATGTAACAAATCGAAATCCCAGCAGGCCAATCAAAATAAAAGTCTTTATTAACTGGTAGTATTATAGGTGTCTAGTTCTAGCTCTTGATTAAATAAAAAAAATTGTTTTGATTTTAATAACCGGATGGTATCGCAGAAGTCGACCGCCCGATAACGGTACACCCCCAACGCAGTGGCAACGCCGGAATAGGTTTGTTCCCTGATTCAAGGGGTTTCCCCCTAATTTTAGGGGTTTTTAGACTTTCTACGGGGATTTTTAGGGGGAAGACATTTTTAGAGGAAAGTTTAGGGGTTTTTTTTCGGAAATTGTATTACATAAATGTTTGGAAAAATCAGTAAAATATTAAAAAATACAGATATATACAGAATACACAGATTTTTCCAATCTAAAGGTACTCAGATCGGTTGAGTTTTTCAATCTTTTTCCACTGGAAATCAAAACGTAACGGAAGAGCGAGCGTAAGAGTTTCGCAAAGTATTAAGAGTTTCCTCTAAGAGTTCGCTGGATTTTTTAGGGTGAAAATATCGACAGTTTGAGATTTTTTAGGAGCAAAACAACATTTCCGTCTGGCAACACTGTTTAAGTATACCACTAGCAATTGCGGCGGCTTTGCGCTGAAAAATAACAATTAAAGGGTCGCGAAAAGGAGTTCAATTCGAGTGGCAGGCTGCAATGAGGCGTCCAAGCGGCCAGTAGAAGGTAAAAGCAGCAAATCAAAGTAGTCTCAAGACCCTTTTAGCCAGTAAAAAGAGGGCTTTTCGGATAAATAATAGATGTACAAGTAGTGCCGACGCCACACAAAAAAAAGAGACAGACGCAGATTGCAAAAAAAAGGCGAAGAGAGCGGAAAGAGGAAGAGCAATAGGGGGAAAGAAGAAGACTTGGCGAAGCGAAGAACGCGCGGCAAATGCTGACAATAAAAAAAATAAAAAACTTTTTTGTAGGGTGTCCAAAGAAAAACTGAGAAAAAAACCAGTAAATCCTCTTTTCTTGCAGATCTTTAACGTGCTGGGCGGACAATCAGCCGGTTACCTATGGGAAAGAAAAACCCCAACGCCCGTCACACAGATGCCGCAACACCTTTGACCACAGACGACTCCAACTGCTCCTCCGTTTCGGAAAACGAAATCGAAATCGAAACCTCAACCGGATCTTCATCCTCGAAACGGAAGCCGAAAAGCAGATCATCGCATGGCAATGTCAGGGCGTCCAGAAAGGTCAGCAGTTCCAGCTCCTCCAGTGATTCCGATTCCGATCAGGCAGTAGCCAATAGTTCAGCCGAAGAAGAGGAAGAGGAGCAGTCGTCCGAGGTCTGCAAAATACGCATTGTGCCGCTCGAGAAGCTGCTGGCCAGTCCCAAGAAGAATACCCGCCGGAAGAAGATTTCCCTGGTGGAATCCTCCAGCGACAGCGAGGTGGTGTTGCCTCCAAAGGCGAGGAACAAATCCCCTTTGCCGCCGCGCAAAAGGAGCGCAGCTATCATAGAACTAAGCGACAGCGAGGAGGAGGAGCTGGTTAATCCCCTCAAGGAAGAACCTAAAAAACAGCAGGAGAAACCCCAGAAATCCCCGGAAGCCAAGCCCAAGCGCTGTGTGGTGCGCTTGAAGCGCGTCAGCCTGCCAAATCCCGCCCAGAATCCCGGGAAGATGAGCACGGACTCAGAGGAGGCGGCCACCACATCGAAGAAGAGCCGCCAGCGGCGTTCCAAGAGCGAAAGTGAGCCGGACTCGGAGTATGAGGTGCCTGGAGTAGCAGGGGAAGAGGAGGTGGAGGATATAAAGTACTCCTCCGGGGAGGAGGAGGCGGAGGAGGATCAGGCGGCCAACAGCAGCGACAGCGAGGTGATACCGCAGCGGAAGAGGCGCCGGAAGAAGAGCGACTCCGAAAAGGGCTCCTCCGACTTTGAGCCGGATGAGAAGCAGCCGAAGAAAAAGGGTCGCAAGCGGATCAAGAAGAATTCCAGCGGAGAAAGCGATGGCGACGGTGATGACGACAAGGCGAAGAACAAGCGCAAGCACATCCGGAAGATTATCAAGACCAAGGACTTGGATCTGACGACCAAGGAGGCGGCCAAGGAGGAGGATGACCGAAGGAAGCGCATCGAGGACCGGCAGAAGCTGTACAATCGCATCTTCGTGAAGTCCGAGAGCGTGGAGATTAGCGAACTGGTGCTGGATTTCGATGAGGATTCGAAGAAGGCCCTGCTGCAGGTGGACAAGGGGCTGCTGAAGAAGCTGAAGCCGCATCAGGTGGCCGGCGTGAAGTTCATGTGGGACGCCTGCTTCGAGACGCTGCAGGAGAGCCAGGAGAAGCCCGGCTCCGGCTGCATCCTGGCCCATTGCATGGGTCTGGGCAAGACGCTGCAGGTGGTGACCTTATCCCACACCCTCCTCGTGAACACCAGACGCACTGGAGTGGATAGAGTCCTTGTAATTTCACCCCTTAGCACGGTGAACAACTGGGCGCGCGAGTTCACCAGCTGGATGAAGTTCGCCAATCGCAACGACATCGAGGTCTACGACATTTCGCGCTACAAGGACAAGCCGACGCGCATCTTTAAGCTCAACGAATGGTTTAACGAGGGCGGCGTCTGCATCCTCGGCTACGACATGTACCGCATCCTGGCCAACGAGAAGGCCAAGGGTCTGCGCAAGAAGCAGCGCGAGCAGCTCTTCCAGGCTCTGGTCGATCCGGGTCCGGATTTGGTCGTCTGCGACGAGGGACATCTGCTCAAGAACGAGAAGACCTCGATTAGCAAGGCGGTCACAAGGATGCGCACCAAACGAAGGATTGTCCTCACCGGCACACCACTTCAAAATAATCTCAGAGAATGTAAGTTTTGCGCAGGGTTCGGAAAATAACACACTCTGTTAAAAACTTGTGTTAAAAAAAAGTTATTTACATGTGTGTAAAAAATTGTAGCTTACATATTTTAGAAACAAAAATACCACTCAAAGTTTATTTGTGTTACTTACACGACGTGTTTTTTACGCGACGTGTTTTTTACGCGACGTGTTTTTAACACAATGAGTTTTTGACATTAAAACGTCAGAAATATATGTTGAACCAAAAAATTCAAGGTTTTCTGTAGTTGAAAAACATCATATATGCTTTGAAACGGTTAAAAATAACAATTGGGATATCTTGGCCCAATATTGATTCTTCATTTCCCTTTGATTCGTTAATGTCCATAAAATTTAATTTTCATTTGTGTTAAAAACACAGTGTGTAAAAAACACGTCGTGTTAATGGCACATTGTGTTTGTTAACATTTATTTTTCACATTTTTATTCTTTTATTTTTGACACAAATGTCAAAAACTTTGTTCACACTGCAAAATACAATTTTACATGTTTTTAACATTTCGAACACTGATTTTGCGCCACTACTTATTATTCTGAATGTTTAATAACAAAAAAGCGAGGGTTATTTGTATGGCTCCCTTAAGATTTAAGATTGCTTTTGTTATAATCTTCAGAAAATAGCAATCCCACGTTAAAAACTCTTATTTATATACCTAATCAAGTTAATAATCACCCTTCCTCCCCCAGATTACTGCATGATTCAGTTCGTCAAGCCGAATCTGCTGGGCACATACAAGGAGTACATGAACCGCTTCGTCAATCCCATCACCAACGGTCAGTACACGGACTCCACGGAGCGGGATCTGCGTCTAATGAAGCACCGCTCGCACATTCTGCACAAGCTGCTCGAGGGCTGCATCCAGCGGCGGGATTACTCCGTCCTCGCTCCCTATTTGCCGCCCAAACACGAGTACGTGGTCTACACGACGCTCTCGGAGTTGCAGCAGAAGCTGTACGGCTACTACATGACCACCCATCGGGAACAGAGCGGCTCGGATGTCGTCGGCAAAGGGGCGCGGCTGTTCCAGGACTTTCAGGACCTGCGACGCATCTGGACGCATCCGATGAACCTGCGGGTGAACAGCGATAACGTGATTGCAAAAAGGCTACTGAGCAACGATGACTCCGACATCGAGGGCTTCATTTGCGACGAGACCGACGAGGAGGAGGCTGCCTCCAATTCCTCGGACAGCTGTGAGTCCTTCAAGTCGGATGCCAGCATGTCGGGTTTGGCGGCCAGTTCGGGAAAGGTGAAAAAGCGCAAGACTCGCAATGGCAATCGTGCCGGGAACAACGATAGCGATTCGGATCTAGAGCTGCTGAGCGGTTTGCCTGGAGGAGCCAGTGTCCAAAAGGACGATCCTTCCGAATGGTGGAAGCCATTCGTCGAGGATCGAGAGCTGAACAACGTGCACCATTCCCCCAAGCTGCTCATCCTTCTGCGGCTACTGCAGCAGTGCGAGGCCATCGGGGACAAGCTGCTCGTCTTCTCGCAGTCCCTGCAATCGCTCGACGTCATCGAGCACTTCCTGTCGCTGGTGGACAGCAATACCAAGAACTACGAGTTCGAAGGTAAGTTAAAACCAGAATATATACCCTTGCAGATCATTCCTATTCATTTACAAATCGCAAAAATGTTAAATTTACTATTGTTTCACATTAATTTTTCGCTCGTTCCTTTGGCAGCTATATGATATAGTACCTTTTTAAAATTAAAAATTGAAATTCGGAAATATTAAAAAATAGTCATATTCCAGTGAAGAGAATGTAATAAAAATCAACAAAGATAGAATTTTTTTCCTATCAATTTCCATTTAATTTTTCGACCGTTCCTATGGCAGCTATACGATATAGTGTTCCGATTTTTTTTTAAATTTTATTCGAAATTCAGAAATATTTAAAAAATAATATTTCCAAGAGTAGAAGTTAATATTTTAAAAAATACCGAAGCTAGAATTTTTTAACGTTTTTTTTCCGATCCTTCCTATGGGAGCTATAAGATATAGTTGTCCGATCCGGTCGCCTCCGACTTATATACTACCTGCAATAGAAAGAAGACCTTTGGGAAAATTTCATCCTGATAGCTCTAAAACTAAGAGACTAGTTTGCGTAGAAACATACGGACAGACGGACGGACAAGAATATATATACTTTATGAGGTCAAAAACGTCTCCTTCGCTGCGTTGCAAACTTCTGACTGAAATCAGTATACCCTCTGCAAGGGTATAATAAGAAAAATCTTTATTATTTTTGCTAATTCTTGCTTTTTTCCCCGCAGGCGATGTGGGCGACTTCAAGGGCTGCTGGACGAACGGGAAGGACTACTTCCGGCTGGACGGCAGCTGCAGCGTGGAGCAGCGCGAGGCGATGTGCAAGCAGTTCAACAACGTGACCAATTTGCGGGCCCGCCTCTTTCTCATTTCGACGCGTGCCGGCGGCCTGGGCATCAATCTGGTTGCCGCCAATCGTGTGGTCATCTTCGATGTCTCCTGGAATCCCTCGCACGATACGCAGAGCATATTCCGCGTGTATCGCTTCGGGCAGATTAAACCTTGCTACATCTACCGGCTGATTGCCATGGGCACCATGGAGCAGAAGGTCTACGAACGGCAGGTGGCCAAGCAGGCGACGGCCAAGCGGGTGATTGATGAGCAGCAGATCTCGCGGCACTACAACCAGACGGACCTAATGGAACTCTACTCGTACGAACTGCAACCCAGTAGCGAACGCGAGATGCCGCTGCTGCCGAAGGATCGGCTCTTCGCCGAGATTCTCACCGAGCACGACAAGCTGATCTTCAAGTATCACGAGCATGACTCGCTGCTGGAACAGGAGGAGCACGAGAATCTCACCGAGGAGGAGCGCAAATCCGCCTGGGCAGAATATGAGGCGGAAAAGACGCGAACCGTTCAGGCATCGCAGTACATGAGCTACGATAGGAATGCCTTTGGCAACCAGGTGATGGGACAATTTGGCAATGCCTCCGGCAGTGTGACGTCCAACAAGATCTTCGGCTTCCGCTCGGACATTCTGCTGCAGCTGCTCAACATGAAGATATCGCAGGATCATCCGGAGCTCAGTCAAAACCAGGTCATTCAGCTGGTGCCCACCTATCTGCAGCAGCTGTACAACGAGATGAACAACGGCGATCCGACGATGTACAAGGATCTGCTTAGCCTGCACTCGCACATTGTCCATCCCAGCGGGATGTACATGAATCCGCTGCTCTACGCCAACCAGAATCCCAATGCGGCTGGCTACAATCAGGGCAGTGGTGGCGGCGGTCCGCCCGGGGCGGCTGGTTCAATGCCCGCACAACCCGCTGCTGCTGCTGCTCCTGGTTTCGAGCCGGACAAGGTGTACGAAATTGATTAATACACTCTTTAATTTAATCGTAGGTAATTCGTCGACCGCGTCGGCATTTCCTTTTGAACTAAAGTTACAATTGTGGTTTATATCCTATCTAATTACCATTACCGATTACCCATAACCGAGCGCATAAGATTATACTTTTTATCAACTCATCTCTAAGTTCAAAACTGTCCTAATTCATGTGTAGTCTTACATTAGTTACAAGTAAAAAAAATACAAAAACAACATAATTACACAATATAGACCATGGCTATATATACATACATACATTAATACATAGTGCGGATCCGGCTAGGAGAAGCAGGAAATTATTTAACACGCGACAAGATAACAACAACAAATAAATGGCACAGATATTAAAATAAAAGCGTAACAATTTTTCTCCCCACTTGAATGTTTTAGGGATATGGGATTGGTTTTAATCCTAGTTTGTCCACATTTAAAACCAAATAAAGCTATATTGCATAGGTGTACTTCTTTGAATAAATATTTTAAATGAGCCAGATTTGAATGTTTTAGGGCTATGGGATAAGTTTAAATCCTAGTTTCCATACATCCAAAACCAAATAAAGCTATATTTCATAGGTATATTTATCCTATTAACTAATTATTTCTTAAATGAAGCTTTGGATTGAGCCACATTTTTTTTAGGGATATGGGATATAAAACCAAATAAAGCTATATTTCATGGGTTTTTCCATCCTATTAACTAATTATTTCTTAAATAAAGCTTTGGAATGAGCCAGTTTTGAATGTTTTACGAATTTAAATCCTAGTTTCCCCACATTCAAAACCAAATAAATCTTAATTTCATAGGTGTTTCCGTCCAATTAATTAAATATTTTTAAAAATAAAGCTTTGGATTGAGCTAGATTTGAATGTTTTATGGATTTAAATCCTATTTTCCCACATCCAAAACCAAATAAAGCTATATTTCATAGGTGACTCCCTCCTATTAACTAATTATTTCTTAAACAAATCGTTGGAATGACCCAGATTTCGAATAAAATCCGGGATATATAATCGGTTTATTGAACTAGACGAGAGATACAAGTAGACTAAGTTCTATAAAAAATTACAAGCTAAAAGGAGTCTATCCAAGGATTAGATTATTTTGGGGGCATCTGCCTGCCCATCATGCGTAGCTGCTGCATCTGCTGGGCCTGCAGCATGTGCTGTGGACTCGGTTGCATGGGTCCGCCGGGTTGCATCGCTCCCGGTGGCATGCCGGGCATCATTCCTGGACGAGGAGGTGCTCCTCCCACCATGGGTGGCATTCCCACGCCGCCGCCGGGTCCTTGGAGCATCCCAGCGCCAATGGGCGGAGTGGGGCGACTGTGGACGCCCTGCTGGATGTCTGAGAGGCAGGCCTTCCACTCCTCCAGGCGATTGTAGTGCTTCTGGAGCAGCGCCTCCTTGCGCTGGATCTCGATGCTGAGGTCCTGGTTCTCGTCCTTGATCAGCATGTAGGGCTTCAGCGTGGAGACGAGGAAGCGCTTCTGCAGGAAGAACGCCTCCATTTGGCGGGCCACGTCTATGAAGCGATTGGTGGTCTTCTGAACCTCCAGTTCGATCTCCTCCTTGTTCGTCCCCGAATTCGGCTCCTGCTTGGTCAGCGTCAGCAGGCACGACTGGAAGGCCTCCTCGAACTCGTCCATCAGGTTTCCGCCACCCGGTTCGTTGCTGGCCATGATTCTGTGCGATCGGAAGGCGTTTAAACAATTAAATATAAACAATTTAACCGGCGCAGCGGGAAGAACAACAAAAAGCAACAGAGTTTTGAGCAGGGTTGCCACTTGTCGGCAAGAGCGGTAGTGATGGCAGGTTTACCGTGCCTATCGATAGTTTTAGTCAATTATAAATGTTAGTTGATAAATAATTAATTAATAATTTAGGAACTGTGGTGTATTATGGTGTCAGGGACTGAAAATACTGATCTTTAATCAAAATAAGTAGTTGCCTTAATTTCTTGAAACAGTCAATTAAAAATGATAGTTGATAAATAATTACTTAATAATAATTGGGAACTATGGTTTATAGATTAGGTATTAAATGAATTTTTAAAATCTTAAAAACAAATTACAAGCAATTTACAAAATCATTTATTTTATCAGGGACTGAAATTATTGATTATATTAAAATCTTTCATAAAAATAAGTAGTTGCCTTAATTTATTGAAACAGTCAATTAAAAATGATAGTTGATAATTAATTACTTAATAATAATTGGGAACTATGGTTTATAGATTAGGTATTAATAGGAATTTTTAAAATCTTAAAAGCAAATTACAAGCAATTTACAAAATCATTAATTTTATCAGGGACTGAAATTAATGATTATATTAAAATCTTTCATAAAAATATGTAGTTACCTTCATTTATTAAAAAACTTATTGAAAGCCTTTTTGCTGGACTTTTGCTTTTATTCTTGTTTTTTTATATACCTTTTTTTATAAATTTAAAAAAATTGCTTTTTTTTATTTATTTATATGTGGTATTCCTTTTCAAAACCCATATCGATAATCGATAACAAATCAGCTGTGCAAGTCGTTGCCTGCATGTGCGGCCGGTTTATGTAAACAAAAATAGTTCCCTTACCAAATGATCAAAAACCATCCAACAAGATGACAACCCGAATGATCCAACGCGCTTTGCACACAGCTCGCTCCTGCCTTTTGGCCCGAGTTCCTCGTCGCGCCAATCCCGGACTGGGCTACCAACTGCAGCAGCTGCAGGAGCATCCTTCGAGGCCGAGCGAAGCTAGCGAGGATTACGCCGATCTGGAGTCGGACTTCATGGGCGTCCAGAAGACCCATCGGCAGTACGAGAAGGAGCAACTGCAGCAGCGGGATCGCATCCGCCAGTTTATGATCAAGCACAAGTATTTTCGGGACTCCAAGTTGCCCAATCTTTTGCTGCATGCGGAAAAGGAGCAGATGCGACTGCTCCACGAGCGGGATCCCGAGGAGTGGAGTGTGGAGCGGCTGGCGGAGAGTTTTCCCGCCACTCCGGATGTTGTGCAGAAAATCCTGAGGGCCAAGTGGCGACCGAGGAGTGTGCAAAGGATTCGCTCCCACGATGAAACGGTCATCCAAAATTGGCAGCTACTGAGGACGGGGAAAGGTGACTTTAATCTACCACCTCCACTTCTCCAGCATCTCCAGAAATTCGCTGAGCGAAGGAAACAGGATCTGCGGGAACTTAAAACGCAGGATTGGCCCACAAAAGCACAGCTGCCCATTCCACAGGCCAATGAATTCCGAAAGCTACTGGGCAGTAGCAGTAATCCAACACAAGAGGAACTGCATCCTCAATTACAAATCCCATCCGGCTATGAAGCCCCACCATCTGCAACCGAAGATGAAACCTATTTGCTGGACAAAATCCGCAATAAAAAGAAGATGCGTCTGCAGGACCTCAAGGAATTGAAGTTGGTGGAGTCTGCACCCAAAGTTCCCGAGGAACTGCAGCGCCCCATTGAGAATCCCAGTGGCACCGGCTTCCTGCCCAGCTTTGTGCCCAAGTTCGCGAGCAGCGAGATTGTAATCAGCGCTGCGGATCAGCGGAAGTATGAGATAAGCCAGGTGAAAACCAGGATTGTCATCCCACGGAAACTGCATCGCCAGGGAGCCACTTATCGCGTGGAGGATGCCTACTACGATGACGATGGGGAGCTGCTCTATCGAGTGCCTGGGATGACAGGAAGAGGTCAATAGATATAATATTTTAAAAATATTTATTCGAAAAAGAAGCATTATTAAAGTAATAGAATTCAAAAAGTGGTTTTATCCACGGTTTTAATCAAAAAAATCGTACGCTTGGGAAACCACTAAAAATTTCATATTTCATATTTTCTGACCAAAAAACAAAAGTCTCCGTAACTTTTATTCCTTGACTTTTAAAATAAAAGTCTAAAAATAACTACGACTGAAACCCAAAAAGATCAAAATATCTATTGCCAATGACGTCACAAAATCTCATCTGTTTTAATTATTATGTTTACCTACATACATGAGTTCTTTAATACAACGACATCGCGAATTCTTTAGAGCAAGATGAACAAATATTGACAAATATTATTCAGCATTATTTATATAAAAATGGTTATATAAATCTCTTGATACACAGATTCTTAGTTGATTCTTAGCGGTGACAGGAAGAGGTCAATAGATATAAAATTTTAAAAATATTTATTCGAAAAAGGATCATCATTAAAGTTAAAGAACTCGAAAAACGGTTTAATCACAAGCAGTTTTCAGCATTATTTATATAAAAATAGGTATATAAATCCTTTGATACAGATTCTCGTTTAAAGGTCATGGTCAATGATTGAAAGCGGTGGCAATTAGATCGCTGCCCGCCATTAGAGAGTCAGATGCCACGGTTATTTGGGCGCCCGTCAGCTTGGCCACAAAATCGCAGGCCGCAATTTCCGCATAACTCGCGCCTCCCACAACGAAAACAAAGAGATTCCTCAGGCGCAATGGGAACACGTCCTGATCTGCAGCCCCTCCATTCACCTTCAGCAGGTTGGCAAAAGCCTTCGGCGTGGTTTTTCCACCATCCAGATGCAATAGCAAACCCTCAATCATGCCCAGCTTCGCGGATAACTCCTCGGCACTATTGGTTTTTAACAATATAGAGCACAGTTGCGCCACCAAGGGGATGTAGGTGCCGTTGAACACAAAACTGGGACAGGATTGCAGGCCAGCAGCTTGGTTTTTCGACGTGGAACCTCCATCCTGTCCATCGCCGCTGGAGGTGAGAAGCTTCAGCCGATTGGCATTGGCCTGGAACTCGGTTTGCTGGAATTTGGGCAGCGGCAGATTGGCCAGCAGCTTGGTTGGCGCCGCCTTCTTCTCCGCCAGAAGCGGAGGAAGCAATCCCGCCTGCGACAACTGCTGAAAAACACCCAATTCCCGGTGGCCAAACAGATTGCAGTAGTTCCTCGCAAAGATCTGCAGCTCCTCGGGCGCCACGCCCACACAATGATGCAAAAGGCACAGCAGGCGTAGCGTATTGAACCGCTGACCATCGGTGGTCATCAGCTCATCGATCTCGCCCAGCAATCGCTTCCTGGAAACATTATTCAGTATGTCCTCCTCCAGAGTTTGCAGCCTCCTAAAGTTGCCCATCATTTGGATCACAATCTCGCTGGCATTCAGATGTCGCAGGACTTTGCTCTTTAGCTCCGTGAGTTTGGGCAGCTTTCTGGCCACATAGTCGTGCATCTCCTCCAGCTGCATGTCGTTGAGCTTCTGTAGTTCCAAGCCCAAGGCCTTGACTTGTGCGTGAATCAAACTGCTGACCTGGGCGAACCTCTTGTAGCGATTATCGCCGTAAATCTCATCGGAGGAGGAGTTCAGGCGAATGGAGCAAGGTTTGCTGGCCGCGCTAGGTACTCCTTTCCCCTTCTTTCCCTGCAGCAGCTCCACCCGCTGGCTGCTTATCTTGTTCGTTGAATTGTCCACTAGGATTTCACCGGAACGCAGCTGGAAGACCTCTAAGAGAAGACCCGCATAAATGGCTGGCGTTAGCAAACTGGCAGGGTAATCCTTATCCCTATCAATTATAAGCCAACCGCCGTAATCCGGAGGATTCGTGGATTCCGGCAGCTTGCCCAGGGCCTTCAGCATCTGCAGCAATTGGGAGGAGTTTCTGCCAAAGCTCAGGATCACAGAGGGTTGCCCGCAGATCATCTGAAGCAAACGCAGGCTTTGGGCCGCCGAAGGCAAGGGAGATGTGTTTCCCTGGAGGTAGAGGCATTCATAGAGCTAGAAATAAATGATATATAATATAATACAGGTTCTCTAACAAATAATAAACCCACTCACATTGGGCAGCTCCAAGCTGAGAACTCCCTGATCAAAGTAAATGAAATCCCAGTTGAAATGATAAAGTTCCACCAGCCCATAAAGACCGGCTTGTTCGAGGAGCGTTTGGAAATAGGAATAGCAACTGGGCACACAGACTATGTGGTACATCTTCAGGGATATGTCCGGCATCTCCTCCAAGGCCACGGGTTGCAATTGCTTGAGTAACGTCTGAAAGGTTCCCAAAACACTGCGGATCATATAGATGTGCACCTGATCCGCGGATCGGGGTAAAGACTGCGCCGCATCGTGTTTGTAGATCCTCTGAATGCCCTTCAGTCTGAAATGGATAGTATATATATTACGTATCCCTAAAACAGAAGTTATAATCCCTACTTCAACCAAGAGGCCGTGACGACATGTTCCAGTGGCTTTATCAAGTCGGGCTCCAAAATCAACTCCTTTTTTCCAGGTATCGAACATAGTATAGAGCACAGCTGAGGGGAATTTCCAAGATAGTTATTATTTGTAAAGACTTTAGTTATTTTTTACCTTTTCCTGGGCCACCAACTGGAATCCCTGCAGCTTTTTGTCCAGCGTCAAATCCATTGTTAGCCAAACAACAGAAACAGCTGATGTAGTATAGGGTGAAAATATAAGGTGGCGCTAAAAACACGAGAAAAAGAAAATTGGTGACGTCATAATGCAAGCTGTCGTTCTCATTCGCCGTATGGGTAAAAAAGTGTTTAAAAGTTAAAAAGTTTTAGAAACATAAAACATACAACAAATTTTGTAATATTTACTCATTTAATTAAAGATTAAATACAGTTTTTAAAGGATTTTTAAGTTCTTTCGAGCCTAAAAATAATTTTTTATTATAGCCGCAATATAATTTATAATTTATCTGAATCTACTTATTCCACCGTATGCTGATACTTTTAATATTTCATGGTTGTTTAATTTAATATCCACCCTGCGCTTTTTTTTACCCACTGTGCGCAGGCTAGTCGCTCACGAACTATCGAACTGGTTCGTTACTTAAAAACAGTGATGCCGTTAGCAAGCCAAAAAAAAAGGCAGGTGCAGAAACAAAAGGGAAAAAAAGGACAAATCATTTAAAAAAATGTTGTTTACAAACGACAAAGACGGGAACTGAAAAAGGTATTGAAAAATTATACTTTTAAAATATATTTGGTAAAAATAAAAAAAGCTAATTTTAAGTATGGTCCATCATCATCTGTGGTTGGTGTTGTAGCCCAAATCGAATTATACTAAAAATAATAATAAATATTTATTGAGTAGTACATTAATTGTTGCTGTTCTGTGGCTTTTAGGCCAATCCGAAGAAAATAAATTCCTATTGTCTTAATTAATTAATTAGTATAATAATTTAAAAGGGACAATAGGAGTTGTTCTTTAGCCGGATAGCTACAAAAAAGCTAGTGTGGCTACACTGCTGGCAAGTGCCATCTCTAGTCGGGTATTTAAACGCGATTCGCCTGCACAGTGCCCACAGTTTCGTTCAAAATTCCGAAGCGAGAGATTGTCGTGGGAGTATTGCGCGCGCCCCGTTCGCATTTATGTGTTTTTATCGTGATTCTGTCAACCGAAATCATATGTTTTTAGCCAGGAGAGAGACGAAAAAAACGGGCGCAGTTCTGCGGTGGAAAATCGAAAATTAGCAAGCGCACGGCACACACAGTGATTGGTGATTAAGGCGAATTGAAAGTGAATCAAAATATGGTTGGCCATTCGAAAACCGTGGAATAAAAACGTGAACAAGCCAGAAAATAAAATTGTTATCGCTCTCCGTCTCTGTCGCTCTATCTCATCTCCCTCTCTCTCTGCGATTTGCTCTCCGTGTGTTTATGTCTCAGCTGTGCGAGTGTGTGTGGCCGAAAGTGTGGGTGTGTGCGTGCCAGTGTTTGTGATTTTATGTTGTTGTTTTGCTTGCTTTCGCGTGAAATTCAACAAGAACAACAACAGCAACAACGACAACAACTACAAAAATTTAAATTGAGATTTTCACATTAAGTCTTCAGTTACAGGCGCCTATTTTCCATCTACCAGGTGAGCTCGACTTTACTTTGTTTATGAATAAAGTGCATTTCGCGAATGTGGGTGAAATTTGTGCGAAAATAAATGGGAAATAACTCGCATAGTTGTTCAAATGACAAAAATAGCTCGGCGGTTTTTTGTTTTTTTTTTTGATATTGCAGCTTGTTGCATGTTCTCGGCCTCCCTTTTGTGCCTGAGATTCGTCTCTTTTTACCGCTCTCTCTGTCTCGCTCTGTTGCAGTTTTACATTTTCGCCTTTGTCAATTATTTACCTCTTGTTTTCGCTTTTTCCTCTTTTTTCTTTTAATGCCTAACATTATTTTCTTATAGTCTCTCCATGTGTCGTCTTCTTCGCTTTCCGTTTGTTTGTGATACCGGTTTTAGCAGCTATCTCGCTCTGTCGCGTTGCACAGGTTGCCTTTTAGTTTACCTTTAGATTTTCTATTCTTTGTCCCGTGCGTTTTAATCGCGTCTTCTTCTTCGCGCTCATCTTCCTAATGCCTGTTTGTTGTTCTTGTTGTTGCCCCCTCTCCCCCGTCCAATTATGGTTTATTTGTTTGTATTTCCCTCTCTCCCATTAAAAGTTAATTTTTCGCTGTGTCTCGATAATTTATTGGGTTTTTTCGCGGCCTTTCAATTCGCTGTAGCATTTAAAAGTTTAATTTTTCGCAAAGGCTGTTCAACTTTTGTTAATTACCTTGCTTAGAATCTAAAAAGGTTTTCGTAAGCACGTTGTAGATCAAGATTCTTTAATTAAGAATTTAGTCATGTTAGAAGGTTTTTATGTGAAATGTTATTTATATTCAAAAACTAACATAAAAGTGCAAGAAAGTTTACAAAATGATTCACAAAGTAGCAGTGAGTAATTTATGATTAGAGGAATATTTGTAGCTTCCGTTTGTACTTTTCAGAACTCATAAAATTTCTATGTGAGTTCTTTATGTTTTCCTGTATAGATTTTCAAAATCTTGGACAGATATTAGCACCAATTAACAATGATTTTGATTCGAATTCTAAGATGTACAATTTTCGCTTTATCACTTTATTATTTCAAAATCCATAAATGTTTCGCCGTTTTAACATTCGACTAACTTATAAGATTGTATTTAACCCTGAAACATTATTATTCGTATACGAGTGTTGAAATGGGGCTATAAATAAGTCATAAAATTAGTAAGACTCAAGTTTTTTATATTCAATAAAAATTCCAGAAACCGAAAAGTTTTGTATTATGTTTTAGGACTGATTACGCAGAACATTATTATAAACTGTTACCAAACTTATTCGCTGATTGCAATTGCCGCATCTTTAGTTCTGTTTAAAAAGTAAAAAATGCCAGGGAAATCCATGGGAAATGGGAGAAACCGCTGAGTTTATCGAGGCCGTCGGCATTTCTCAACTCGATTTCTCATCCAAAATGCGCTTCGCCCGTCCAATAAAAACAATAATAACCAGCAAAGCAAATCGAAATAATTCATTTGCATTTAGGTAAACAAACAATACAATACCACCCCCCGAAGGTGATTCCAATCACACCTCCATAAATTCTGCAGCAAAAGTTCGGCACTAATTAAAACGAGAAACAAATTACACATCAAGAGGGGAAAATGGAAAATGGGAGCTTCAGGAGAGACAAGACAAGAATTTGTGTAAACAGAAATCGTTTTGGAAAAGAAAACAAAAAGCATTTTTGCAACGTGCGTCGCTCTTGATTTTCTTGATTTTTCTCCAACGAAAATCTCTCCCCCGAAAAACATTCTCGTTTTTCTCCATTGTGTTGGAGGCGTGTGAATTTTCGTCGGTTTGATGTCTGTTTTTGCTCTGCTCATTTCTACGCACACACATCAAACCCAATTAGTATTGTTCTTCTGTTGGCATATGGCAAATATTTCCATTTGTCTGTTTGTATACATATAAATTGCTTTGTATTAGCTTCGGTTCCGTTTTTCGATCTTGTGTTTGGAGTAAGTCTTTGGGTAATGTGTTTTAGAAATTTATATTTTCCCATACTTCGCGATTCTATTTTTGGAGAGGTTTGCTTTTAAATTCGCGAAAACGTGTGGAAGATTGCATTTGTTGGGGGAATTACGCTTTTAAAAAATGCCATAATTGCGACGTTTTTAGGATTTATTATTATTCAAAAAACAATTTTTTTCCGTTTATTTTAGTTGTTGATAAGTAATCTTTTTTAATAATAGGTTCCTAATTGTAGCTATATATGTATGTATAAGGAAACGTTGCCACATTTTTTTGATATTTTATTTTCATTATTCTTTTTTTAGTATAACAAAAAAATGACACGTAAGAAAACGAGTGCTTTATTTTAGCAAACTCATCAAAAAACCGCAAGCAATCGCGTCATGTCGCACTCATGCGTTTCTTCCCATTAGGGTGACTCACGCGAAGACAAGACATGTAACAAAGAATTGTTCATTCTTCGGCATTCTTCGCTCTTCAGTTTTCATCATCACTTTTTTCAGGGCGGGAGCACTGAGCCATGTTTGCTTTTCTTTCGCCAAAGAAGAATGGCGAAAGTGAACCCTCTTCTTGGGTTGTGATTGTGGGATATGGGATATAGAATCTGGGATGGATGGGTGACTGGGGCTCACCGACTGACTGACGGAACAGAAAAAGTGTGTGTTTGCCTGCCTTGAGCAAAGTATTTTGGCGCGTGTCCAAGTAGAAACAAAGAAAAGCAAAGAAAGGTGCGGCAAATATAGCGAATAAATCAGCAAATGGTTATTTGCCACTATGTCTGTGTATCTGAGCATGACCAGGCCTACAAAATAAACCAAGAAATGGGAAGTAAATGGGAGACGTAACGCTCCAGATGAATTAATTTACAATTCATTCTTTCAATATATATCTATATTTAGAAAAAAATAAAGCAAATAAAGAGAAATATTTCTAAACAAACCTAAAAAGTTGTCTAAAATGATTTCGTTTATTTTAAAAAGAAATATCCCAAATGAACTTTGCACTTATTTATAGCATAACGTAAATACAAACAGTCGATAGATAAACAACTTTGATCTCTGATCATTTGCAAATTTTCGACTTTAGCTTTAATTGGAAATTCTTGGAAAAATGTATGCAAAGCAGCTAGTCGGCCATTAGGTTAACTTGTTTCGACACGGCCAATTCATTTGGACAGCCCACACCTACCGACCGACCGACCTTTTCCTTTTCACACCGGCGGCTTTTACAAGTCCCGGGGTTTTCACATCTTCGTATCAGCCGCAGACTAGCCGGAAAATGACGAAAAAAACGAAGAAAATTCGGATTGCTTTCTGGTCTGGTCGTGCAATCTCCAGTTTAGTTCCCTCGAATTTCTCACCTTTCTCAGCAATTTGAGCGCGAGGCAACGTGCCACGCATAGCTGAGAAGGCGGAAAAGCGTTTGACGCGACTCCGTCTCTGTATTTTCCCTCAATTTCACTCTATACCACACCACCCCCTTCCTAACGTCCTTTGTTTACCGGGCTCAGTTTAAATTTCCCGCGATGTCGCCGGCCAAAAAAATAAAGAAAAATAAAGAAAAAACAAAAACCAAACAAAAAACGGAACCAACTAGTTAAGTTAGCTCTCTTAGAAAGTGCCGACATAGAAGGCCAGTGATGTCGGAACTCGAGGTGAAAAAATGCTTCGTTTGCAAATAAACAAATATTTTAGAGTAAATATTTAGACTAAACAACATCTATTGCGATATGTAAAGTATTCAATGATTTCTATCCGTTCTTCAAAAATAAACTTTTATTTAAAACCAAAAATAAAAATAGAAACAGAACTTTGTGAGTACAAGAAATATTATTTTTATAATAAAAAAAAAAACAATATTTAAATGAAAAAAATTCTTAAACTTATAAAACGAAAATTAAAACTTAAGTACTGTAAAAATATCCAAATCAGAAATAAAAACCTGAAATGTCAACACTATTGCACACTTTTTTTCTTTTAGAGAAGCGAATGAAAGAAACCGAGGCGAAAAATACAAAAGGCTAGATTTGAGCAATTGAAACGAGCTGAACTCTTTATTTTGCACTTTGACTCAGCAGAAATTTCTTTTGTTTTTCATTTGGCTAGTTCCTGGAGTAGACTCCCCAGAAAAAAAAAACAGAAAATTGGCAATCCAAATTCACCGGATATTGCAGTTGCTTTCGGTAAGCTACTTTTTTTTATAACTATTGTTACCATTATAGGGTTCTGTTGAGGTCAATACATTCTTAAAGATTTTTTCTGATCCCAAATTCAGTTTATGCCTTGTAAAGGATTTTGGCGAAAATACAAGTGCATTCTGGCGGGCTAAAAAAGCAAGGAAAACTATCGATGCATTCTGTTCACTCAACCGAGTTGACATTTGCTAACAAAATACGCTGGAAAATATGAACAAGTTTGTTTACCAACAGAGCCAGTAGAAATCCCCTTCTCCATTCCATTTCTCCAGTGTCGAAGAAATGTTGCACACGAAAATATATTCAAAAAGCTTCTGCATTTTAACACATGATTTCATATGCAAATATGAACAATGCGAAAGAATCGAGGGAAGAAACGGGATGTTGAGACGAAAATTTATGAGAAATCACAAAATTTATGGCATTTCTTGGTGGAAAAGAAGAGGAAGACAGAGCGGTGGAAATATCTGGGAAAACTCCGGGCAGAGTTGGCAAGAAGTTGATGTTGTCTAAGCTGTTTTCCCCGTTCATTTTCGGCTCGCTCTCTTGTTCTCTCTCGTTTTTCACTTACTTTTCTTGTTTGCCAAAGTTATACAATTTTTTGAGTGTGTGTTTGTACTTTTTGGCACGTGACAATAAATTGTTGTTTGTTGTCTCCCGCTGTATTTGTTGTTGCTCGCTGTTCGTTGTCTTGCAAGAAAGCCAGCAAGAAGAAAAGTGTGTCATAAATGTCATAGTTAATATTTGCTGCTCTGTAAATTTTTGGTTCTTTTGCCCGTTGTTCTTTTTTTGGTTTTTAAACTTTTGGAAACTCACTGCTTTATAAATAAAAAGTATATCG